ACACAAGGTCCCAGTGCGCACAGGCAGGCAGTCCAGGCCAGGAACAACTTAATTTGGCCTCGCCATCTTCTCCTCCCACACGTGTGGTGATTAATGCCTGTTTTGGGTTAGACGTGAAGGGGGCCCCTCAAGAAGTCTCTTGGGTGAAAGGGGTGGGTCTGCTGCTCCACAGATGAAGGAGAACCAGAGAGGCAGCCAGCTCCCCGGCCACCGCGGCCACCGCCAGGTTTCCAGTCTCACTGCTTCCACTGCACATGTGAGGACACTGAGGCCCAGAGAGTGCAAGGGCCTTCCCTGGGGCCCCCAGCAGAGCCCGGGCTGGAACCGGCTGGCTGAGGAGCAGAGACTGGGAGTCAGCGGAGAAGGGCCGAGGAGTGGAGGGGAAGGGTCTGGAGCTGAGGCTTGGCCTGGAAGGATGTCTCGGCGGCATTGCGTGCGTGGGTGGGTGGCCTCTAAGACAAATGCCATCTGCTTCCCAGCAGCTATGAGGGCCTCCTGGGTGAGATGGGGGTGTCGGGGAAGGCGGGCAGCCTGGGCGAGGGGAGTGAACTCAGGCTCAGCAGCACCACCCGGGCTGCCCAGGGCTGGCGGTGGTTGCCGGCGCTGAAATGTGAAGTGTGTGAGGGCATGTATATGTGTGTGTGTGTGTGTGTGTGTGTGTGTGTGTGTGTGTGTGTGAAACTTTGTGGAATATTTGTGAGTAGTGACTGTAAGGAGAGTGGTGTATATGTAAGTGAATGTGTGTGTGAGTGAAAGACTGTGTGAATATGTGTGTGAGAGTGAGTGAGTGTGTGTGTGTGTGTGTGTGTGTGTGTGTGTGCTGGGGAGAGGCTGGCTAAATCCTGCCTGTCCCGCCCCCACCGGCCCAGCCTCTCTGGTTTCAGCCATGGTCCTAAAGAAAACAGCCTGGCGGGAGCTGCAGCAGGAAATCACTATTTGGATTGCAGAGGCGCCTCTTCCTGCCCCCACGGAGGGGAGAGGCCAGGGAGGGGGCCTTCCTGCCCACCTGGACCAGACCTCTGGCTGGTCCGGAGCACCCCCACCCCCCTCCCAACACACACACAGCCTTGGCCCTCTGGCCTCCCTGAGTTCCTCAGATGCCAGCCTCAGCCTGGGGAAGAAGACCTGAGCTGAGCCCTCCCACCATTGTCTGTGCTCAGGACAAAGAGCCACAGCAGCCCAGGGGAGTGGCCGCTCCCTGAGGCCCTGGGAACAGACTAACACAGCCTCAGCCAGGGCCGCTGGGCAGCCTGTCAGTCACAGGCACACACCTGAGGCCCAGCACTGCCACGTTCAGGAATAGTCTCACTAGCGCTCGCTCGTGCAAAAGGACATGTTGGAAACCCTGTTTACAACGGGGGAGTCAATGGAAGGGGCTGAGCTGGAGATGTAACTGGATTGTAGCTCATCCCTCAGCGAAACTCCTGATGAGAAGGATTCCGAGACCAGTGGTTAAGGCATAAGAACAGAACACGATTGTGTGCATAGGATCTTGACATTTTTGTAAAAAAAAAACACACAAAAAACAAAAAACAAAAAACAAGCAATATGTTGGACGGCTCGTTTGTGCACAGATCAGACTTTTGACCCTTTGGACCTTGGGCATGAAATAACTAAGCACAAACGAAACGCACAGAGAAACAAGCACTGAGGCCTGAGAAGATGGGCTTCTCTCCTGGCTTCGGTCCTGACTGCGCCACCCTGGCAGGGAGGGCGCTTTCTCTGTGTTCTGAGTTTCCTGTGTGGTCCCAGGGGTCAGAGAGCCTGTGTTCATGTGCGTGGGGGCGGGAGGGGTGGGA